CAGATCACTCCTGATCAGGCTAAACACGATGACACAACGCTGGCACTCACTTGGAACCTCAAAGAGGACTGCTTAATAAAACAAGAGCGATCTCCCAGCTAACGGCGCATGTGGAGGTTGATTGTGTAATTATATTAGCGTGTCACACTATGGTTCTAAACTAAATCAACTCACTATGAGGCAGGATGGTAATCAACGGCAAAATGTTAGTGGGTGTTGCATAAGCTTTGCAATCAGTCGCACGTTTGTGGTGCTCTGACCATGTCTTTATGTGGATGGTTCATTTCTGTTCCCATTCGTTCTACGTGAGTTTAGCCCTTGTCTTGGTTCCCACCAGGTCCTCAGTAGATCCAGTTGGTTCTTATATCCGTTAGCCTGTATGAGGCATGTGGGATGGACCTCCACCACAAACAGCATTAAGCTGATTTGGAATGGAAGCTACATACTTTTTGTATTAGTGGTCATATCTTACATTTTACCTGCGATAATGAAGCTGTTTGATTGTAATTATGTAATGTTTAATGTCAGGCGTTAATCAGCATAGATCACACTTTCAAATTAAATGAAAATCATTTGGAACCATACTGAACAAATCCAGCTTTAGATCTGTAAGTTATAATACCAACAAAAAATAAACAAACAATTGTGACCTCTGTGTATAAAAACTCAAGTCTGAGTTTAATTCATGGACTTATTTCCAATGCAATCATCGTGTTTGTCTGTATTTTTACTCCTGCATGTGTGCCACTGATTGCTTGAATTATTCATTTTCTTTATGCATTACAAATGGGTTTTCTGATAGAACAAGACAGATCACTTGTTTTATAAGTGAAGTCAAATCAAGTCAAGAAGTTTTTTTATTGTCATTCTAGCTATATACTCGGTACACGGTGACAAGAAACAACGTTCTTCCAGCACTTTTATGGTGTAGAACATCACGGGACTGCCCAAAAAATAAGAATAAATGAGAAATACTTCAAATAAAATAAGAAGATAAGTTGCAGGGCTTTGGAGAGACAACAAGACGTGCAGCCAATGATCATAGTGGTATAAATCAACAGTAACTGTAAAAGTATTGTGAGCAGCAGTCAGTGTTTAATAGCATCGATGTGTGATGTGCTGAATCCTATAAAAAAACCTGAATTGTCTAACAACGCTGCCGAGATGCAGAGCTGTGGATTAACAGGCTGCAGAGCCTAATGGGTGAGTATACTGGTTATAGTGGTGTGGAGAAGTGTGGTGGCCTGTGGGGAGAAGCTGCTTCCCATTCTGGCAGGGAAGGTCCGTATGCCTCAACTTTCAGCCAGATGGCAGGAGGGTGTGTGTGTGTGTGTGTGTGTGTGTGAGTGTGGCGGGGACGAGTGGAGTCATCTGCAATGCTGGTGGCTTTGCAGATCCAGGGTGAGGTGTGGATCTCCGGGACAGAAGGGAGCCAGACCTGAACGGTCTTCTCGGTTCTCCTCACTAGCGGCTGTAACATCTGGCAATCGGAAACAGAGCGGTTCCCGAAACACACTGGGATACCAAAGAAGAGGAAAGACTCTGTAGTGCATCTGCAGAACATGGTCCGGAAGGAAGTGGAGGCACCACTAGGCTTTCCTTACAATGGAGCTGGTCACAGGATCCGTGTGAGTTTATCTGGACCCCGAAGAACCTGGTGGTCTGGACGATGGCCACGGTGGCTCTGGACCAGTCCATTAGCCGTTTAAGCTTCTCCCTGTGCTGCGCAATGGCGTTCCCACTGGTCAGATCCACCATTCCCGTGTCACCACCTTGATGATGTGGTCAGAACGTGGCATTGCCGCACAGCCGGCATCAAACCGTGTGTAGAGGTGATGTGGCCGCCCACCCTGAGCCATGGTTCTGCTCCAGGTTTCTGCCTGGTAAAAGAAAGTTTTTCCTTGCCTGTGTCGCCTAGTGCTTGCTCACGGTGGGAATTGTTGGGTTTCTGTAATTAACTTCAGAGTAGGTCTGACCTGCTCTGTTTGGAAAGCTGTGAGACAACTGTTGTTGTGATGTGGCGCTATATAAATAAAATTGAATTGAATTGAATTGAATTGAATTGAATTGTGTAAAGGAGGTCACATGGAGCTGTAGGCGTCCTGTTGGTGGCGTTGGCCGAGATGCCCTGAGCGCATGCTGTGCATGTGCACGCCGTGGAATGTAAACCACCGTGAGGATGGAAGGGAACCCTCAGGGTGGATAAAGCGGCCCACATCCAAAGCAACACATTCCTACAGCAGACAGTGCGGATGTAAACACACACTCCTGGTTCTTACCGGACAGGGCTGCCAAAAGGAGGACTTTTTTTTAGCATTTTCTAATCCCAACTGGGTCTTTTAATTTTTTCCCCTCCGTCTAGGAAGCTAAAGAGTGTTGAAAGCATTCACTGAAAAAAAAAAAAAGAAAACTGAAGAACTTCCTTCTGCTAGCCAGTATATGTTTCTTGTGATTGTTTTATGCAAAGGACTGAAAGTTTTGACTGTGTTTGTTATTAAAGAAAGTGCTATAGACTTCTTATACTCCCACATTCAAAGTTGTTAACTAAGACTAAAAGCAGCAGCAAGGCTCTGATTTAATATCCGCCCTGCCAATGAAAGTTTTCACAACGTAACTGCTGCTGTCATTATCTCAATGCAACATCAACCTCAAATGAATAGTGCACATTAGCCATAGCCTAATAGGGAGACTGGTTCATATTATGCTTAAATGTGAAAGATTGAGGGAATTTAAATATTTTGTTTTATAGAATTATCATTTTAGACAGTAATTACAACTAATGAAGCGCCATTACTGCTTTATCACACACAGTTTGATAGATATCGCAATGCAGGAGGGCTATCCCAGTCTATCCCAGTCAACAGCTCTGCAGAGAAGGAACTAAGCAGGTCAACAACTCTCAGAAAAGAAAAAACATATTCCCTCAGCTCAGTCACTAGCAGTAACTATTACTGGATGATCACTGCCATGTGTCTCTCACCCACTCGTGTCCTACGGATTTCACCAGAGTCAGAGGGGAAAACCTCTCAAAGGAATCCAGAACAGAAGTTGAACACATATGTCTGCACATATTGCTACATGGAGCATCTTTTAAACCAGCGGCGTGCATGAATTCTTTCAAAAGTTCATGTTTTCTGTGAATTTCCACAGAATACAGCTGTTTTTTTTTACCGTTTAAATTGAAGCGACCACAACTCTTCCTTGCAACCTAGAACAATGTTCTTGTACATAGTGAACATGTCACGATTAATTGCAGTTTGGGGCTGCATGCTCCAAAGGAAACCACAGACTATGAACTGGTTACACATATGAGTAGCAGAAGTCACGGAACAGTGGAACTATTCCACTATTCCTATTGTTGGGCTTCTGTAAATAACTTCAGAGTACAGTCTGACCTGTGAGATGACTGTCGTTGTGATTTGGCGCTATGTAAATAAAATTGAATCTATTTGAATTGAATTCAGAAACACTGCTACAAGACAGAGCTGGACAGAAGCTGACAGTGTACCCGAACAGAAGGATGGCCGGTAGAGAACCGTGGAGGTGTGCCAGCTGAATGTGAGCGGTATTATAAAAAATGACTTTGCTGGTAGGAAGTCAGAGGTGACCGCCGGGGATGTGAGGTGAACTCGGCTTTGGGAGCAGAGCTGCACTTTTTCTCCAGGTTTCTGTCCGCTGTGATACCCTGACACCAGATTTAGTCTTACAGCTGCTGCTCTGTTTCTTTGCTTTGAGCTAGATGACACTTTTCTGCTGCAGTGACCTTTCCTGTGTTGTGGGGGGGTTTAGCGTTTCTGACTGGGCCTCTGCTGGCTCATTTATTAGTGAAAATGATCAAATAAAGCCAGCTAAGTACTTGAAGACATGCTTTCTTATATCACAGTTTTCACCTTTCAGTATTTCACTGATGATTGCTAAGCTTTAATATGCATTAACTTAACCTTTGGCTGCTTTTTTGTCAGTTTTTAATTTTCAGAACACTGGCAAGAACACTTCAGGACTCCAGCGAATGTGTGAAAAGGATTATATTTAGGTTAGTTTTCCCTATTAAGGGAGCAACAAACTAAATGTATGATAATTGTGACTGGATCATTTGTTTCCTCCACAAACTCAAAAACTCCTCTTGAAATTCAACCAATAATGTACTTAAATGAGTCAAAATGTCATGAATTATAGACTGTCATGGGGAGAGAGAGAGGAGATTAACCCAAAATATAGAGGAAAACAGCAGGACACAGGATACAAAAAAAAGTATGAAAAGAATAAAGGTTTTGCTAAGCTGTATAAACAATAACTAATCTACACAGAGCAACAAAAACCAAATGACCAAAAGACGGGAAAGCGGGAAACCACGGGATAGGGGAGAATGGCATGGAAATGGTGACTAACAGCAAGGATCTGATCAGGAGCGAAAGAAGCAGAATTACAGAGGATGTGACCACCGGGTGGAGGCCACTGAGTTAAGCTGTTAGCCTGACCTAAAGGACATAAGGAACTATAGATGTATCACTTATAGTTCCTTAGTTCTAAAAAACAAAACAAAAGTGGCACCAAAATTGTGAGAAATAAGGAAAAACCAAAGCAATTCAAATGAGCAATAATCCAGACCTTGCTTGTCCAAATAAATGTTTCCGACCAATCACATTTGCAGAGCATGTTCTGCTGCCCCCATCATTTTAATATAATGATACTCCATGTCAGTGTATTGTTTCCAGAGAGATGATCTTAGTGCCTCTGATTCTACATCACTAAATCCTTTCCATGTATGAAAAACAAAAAACTAAAACTAAAAAACACTCTTCTGTCCTTGTCCTCAGTGGACTAAATCCTGACCCTGTGATTGGTAGCCTCTACTTTGAGATGAAGACTACGGAGCGGGAGGAATGTCAGTCTGACTGTCAGTGTGTCATGTGTTTCTGGTAATGCGACATGAGGGTTCTATCTCCGTATCTCAGAGTGAAGTGGCCCGTTCACAGGAGGAAGCTGGTGCTGGTTCTTACCGACTGGCTGGTAGCCCTGCCGTGTAGGGCCTCCAAACGGGTTACGACCGCCAAAGGAGCTGCCATCTATGGACCCGTACGACATTCTGAAGGATAGTTAGCGTGTCAGCTGCAGCAGTCTGGGGAGGAAAAAAATGACAGGAATCAAAGAAGAGGGAACTATTCATTTCAACGTACAGTCTTCCCTCTTCCAAAGGAATGCATTCACAACACCAACAAAGAGAGGAGAAAGAAAAATGGGTTTTAGAGAGATGGCCTTTCTGATTTCTGTCAAATCCAGACTCGTGTTGTGTTTAGAACTGGAAAAAAGTGCTCACAACCAAGAAATGAAGCTACTTATCCTTTTAAGATGCCAGAAATATATATTGGGATTGTTTGACAGACCAACACAAAGTAGAAAATATTTAAGAAATGGGAGGAATTTGAGGCATAGTTTGAAAAAATAAGAATAGAAATATGCTAAGTGTGATGTTCATTTGTATTCAGCCCCTGGGTCCGTGTTTAGTTATAACAGTATCCAAACACCTTTAGTCTCAGGACGTTGGTGGTCTTTTCTCCTGACCCCATGAATGACCCTTTACACCGGTCAGTGGGGCTTTACAGTGGTCAACCCACAGCACTGCTGTTTGAAGTTGGAATCTCAATTTCTGTGCTTTTACATGTTCTTCCTGCGAGTACTGTCCAGGATCTTCTCACCGTCCACCACCCATTCATCTGTAGCCCTACCTATGACGGCTGGACGTACAAATGGAGGGATATGTGTGTGACCTGGAGTTATTGCCCTGCATACAGGATATGATATTCTATTTGTCCACAACCCATTGTTGAAGTCAGTTCACATTTAAGCCTGAAAAGCACTGTTTGTGCATGAAATCAGGGTGGTGCACTGGTGTAGAGGCCCCGGCGGAGCTGAAGGAGGAAGCTTCACACTCCACGAGGCATAAGTGATGACCGTTCTTAACTCGGAGCCACGGAGGGACCCCTAAAGTGCTGAAAGCCACTACATGAAACTCACATCATTTTACAGTAAGTGAAATGTTACAGCATGTTTTATCTGACCTAGTGAGAAGACATCAGTCCAGGAAACGGCTTGATTCCTGCTCACCTATCACAGCAGAGGTTAGATCAGAGGTGTCCCACTCTGCTCCTGGGGGGCCTCTATCCTGCAATTTTCTGATGTTCCCCTGCTCCAACACACCTAATTCAGTTTAAATTGAAAAGGTTTTTGCACAGAACTGCTGATGGTGTGTTGAAGCAGGGAAACCTCTTCAACCTGCAGGACAGAGGCCTGCAGAGTAGGACATCCCTGGTTTAGACTGTTTAATATTCCAAGTTACAGAGATTAAACCATATTTCTTATAAAAAAAAAGAAAAAAAAAGAAGCCCTTTGGTTGGTCTCACGGTGGTCCCGTATACACTCCCTGTCAAAAGTATTTTGAAATATTTTATTCATTTCAAATAAACGTATTCATATAATATACTGTATTGTTTAAATTTGCTGTATTTATCGTGGGAAGTGCAGAGTCAGGTTTTCCAGCAGTATGGAGCCACATTTCTACAAGTAAGATAGTTCCAATCTTATAATAAAACATTTCTCTCCAAAATTAGATTTTCTTTATTCAATATACATGGTGAGACTTCAGTTGTAATCAAAATACCCTCTTTTTTGTTCTTGTTATTTATGTTTTCTTATGCAAAAACACTTCTGGAGATAGATTATTTTCATTTAACTGTTTGCACACAACCAGGCCAGCATCTGATCTAATGAGGCTTATGTTCAAACAGTTTCATCATCGCTGCAAGGTCAGAGTTAAATGTGGCAGCGGGTCTGCAAAGGACAGCGGTCAGAGCCCTCACACATGCAGAGGGTTAAATGACCAGTGAATATTTCATGGTCAGCCTCTTCAGGATGTTAACTGATAACTCATTTACATGAGTGGAGGCACAGAGGGCAGATAATGCTCATCAGGATGCTGCAGAAAAGGTCAGATCATCATGAGAACATGTGTTTGACCCGCGGCCAGAGGCACACACATGAAACTCTAATCAACAAATCTCTCTCAGTACTCCTCTTCAGCATCTCTGCTAAAGGTCATTGTAGGATTCTGGTCAAGTGGCCAAAGCTCTTTCCCCAACCGTGAAAGACGAGGATTCAGACAAGCAGGAGAATGTGATTATGGTCCAGAGTCCCCTCGCTGCCCATTGTTGCAGAGAAACTAGTGAATCCAGCCTTTATCCGTGGCATTTGGGGACGTGAGAGGGATGGACCAGTGGCCAGAGCCTCTGTGTCTGCACATTACACAGGGACAAATTCACTGGGCCACGAGAAGGTTTAATCCGATTAATTTTCATAGAGAGGGAAGATTAATTACTTTTGGCAGTCCGTAAACAATCTTCACTCTGCTTGATTTCAAGTGCAGTGACTGTGG